GTGTCCCAATGGCTGTACCTAGCACTAGACAGAAGTGAAGATTAAGCAACTACTGAGAGGCAAAAAGATCAAATGCATGAAATCTTACTACATTAAGATAATGATGATGTTCTGAGGCAACTGAGATTAAAAGTATTTATGCAATACTGTGTTGTGTTAATCCAGTGCTTCAATGAATTGGATCTTGAGGATGGAAGTAAAAAAGACTTCAAAGGTTACAGATTACAGATAACTAATTGATACAGGTTACTTAGGTGAAATGAGTATGCAAAGGGAGATTGGTGTTGTGTTTTAAATTGACTGGGAGTGTGTATTTAGCTAACAATGATCTCCTTCCGATTAGGATGACTCATTAGGTAAACACCACTCGTGCAACTACCTGGTGCTGCGCTGAAAGGGGTACACAGGATGTTTCAGTGGGACAGGAATCCTGCCCCATGGCGCCCATTTGTGCTGAGTTCTCAAAAGGTCAGGCATACTTTAAAGTGAGTCAGGAAAATAAGGATTTAGATTTAAAAACAAACAAACAAACAAAAAAAACAAAAAACAAAAACAAAACCTTCAAAGCTGATGAGTCACTTCAGACCACAAATACTGGAAGATACTGCTTCTCAGGTCCAGAGATTGTCGTCCTCATTTGGGAGGGAAGAAGATTTGAACATTTTAAACTCAAACGTTGTTACCTTATGCATGAAGAAGCCCTAACAGTACTACTTAACACTTTTTAATTCTTCTCTTCATGTTTCCCCTAGAAGATTAATGACACGGGAGGTTTAAGATCTTCCAGACACCCATTGATTGAGTAGGCTGAGGAGAAGAAAATATTTAAATACTGAACTTCCCTCTTGCTAACTTATTTTTTCCCCCTCATCTTTCTTCCCTTTTACTCCAATACCTTAGCACCAGATGGTATGTAGTGCCTGTTTTGGTAAAGAGTCCAGGCCTGCAGTTCAGCATGGCGAAGTGTCCAATGGTGTTTATTTTTTTTTTTTCCCTCCCCCTTTTCTGATGGCAGACTTCAAGCAGAATCAAAGAACTTGGTGTTTCACAGGACAGAAGGACAGCAGAGTTTAAACCTCTAGATCAAATAAAAATAAGACAGATCTCTCTTGCATATGAAATACAAGGTAGCAAGAAGCAAAGCCCTTTTTTTCCCCCGCTTTGTCATGTCCTTGCTGCATCCTGTGAAACCATGTCCAAAGCCCTTGTAAATCAATGAGTCTTTCTGCTGATTTAACTGGTTTATGCATTTCTAGACAAATGTAACCAGAAAGGAGCTGCCTATCTGCCTTAATTTTTCACCTGTTTTCCATACCTAGTAGTAGGTGCATGGATATATCTGCATGAGAGGTACTTGCTAAGACAAATGGTATGGATACCTCAACATATGGGGGGTGATTTTTCCTTTTTGGTAACATGGCAGAAGGCTGCAATAGTTATAAATTCAGCTTCAATTCATAGTTTCCGATTGTCTTATATGGTTAATCCTCTCTGTGCATTAACTACCTGGCTGCAAATGTGCAATTAAGAAGTATTTGAAATGGGAGGAGGCCTGTGTCTGGATAAGAGGAGGTGCTGCTAAGGTCTCCTCTCCCCTTATCTGTGCATTGCTTCATTTTGTGTGATTTTTATTTTTTTTCCTGTGTAAATACTGAATGAGTAGATCTGGGAGGAAAAATGATGAGAAAAAGAATTTCTCTTGGGTTTGGAGGGGGAATAAAATAAACTTTGTCTGTGAAAATAATTTGTACTAAAGCAAAAGGGAAAAGATGGAGAAGGCAATGACAGGCAGCTTGGAGCACCTCCTGAGGTGACTGCTGGCCCTCCACAACCATCCCCTCAAGATGTAGCAGTGCAGGAGGGGGAGATGGTGACAGCAATATTTAGCTACCATCTCTGGTGTTTCACTTGCCCGCCTGCTGTGGCCTCTTGTTTTTGCTCTACGTTTTTGCTTGTGTTTACTCCTGCAATCTTGTAATGATGCTTGTACATCTCTCTAGCCTGACTCCCACAGTAGAAGAGGAAGAAAGCACAGTAGGATGTGTGTGTGCTGCTGCTAGAGGACAGCCACCAGGTAGAGATGAGAGAAGTGTTAGATACCTGACATCATCATCAGAAAGGGTTAGTGATAAATCTCCGCTGCTATCAGTCCTGTCTTTCATCCATGCTCAACAGTAGCCAATAAATGCTGCTAAGGGCTATGTTGGGTGTATTTCCTTTAGCTTTCTTCATGAGATAGGCGCCAAACATGCATCCAGGAGTGCTTGCACCCTCCATCTGTGAGCAATCATCCTGCTTCAATACAGCAGCAGGCTTGACTCTTGGAGAACAAAAGAGCAGAGCTGCTGCTTCTGCTGCTCAGCTGTGCAGGCAGGGCAGGAGCAGGGAGGAGGGTGGTGGTGCAGACTTTTGGCTGCCTTAGAGTGACCACATCCTGTCAGACTGCGGAAACATCAGACTAATGGGGAGATCTGCCTGTCTGCGATGTAGAAGTGCATGTGGGAATCTGGTAGATAATTTGCAGATGCATTTGTATTCCTGCAGGAGGAACGGTGGTGCAGGGAGAGGTCCTGCCCTCTCTCCTGCACTCAGTCTGTTCACCTACTTCCTACTCACATTCCAGTTCTCCACAGCATTTAAGTACAGTGCAGACAGATTTATTTCGAGGAGGCTGTTTTCCTTTCTTCTGGTGCAGCTCCCAGGCACTGTTTTCCTGATTCTGCATGGGAAGACTAACGCTGAGTCCATGATGGCAGGGTTATGCTCAGAGCAGCAGCCAGTGGCCTTTACCTGCAGTTCTTCCTTGAGCAGTGTCAAAGTGGGAGACTTCTTCCACAAACTGCACACTGCGAGACTGGGTTGCCCACCCAGGACCATGCAGGAACATTGTGGTGTGAAAGAGAACTGATACCGAGCCTCCCAAGTTGTTAGTGCTCCGACCAAGATTTGTACTATTATACCACGTGAAATTGTCATGTGAGATAACAAAGGATGGATTGTTTATGACAATGCTTAAATTCTGGTCAGGTTGGATGTTAAAACCTGAACTTTCCTAGGAGCTTCACTGAGCCCAAGTGGTATGGGAAAGCTGCGTGCTTTCCTGACAAAATCCTGAATGAGGAAACAGCTTGCTGTGCATGTGTGGCTGCTAAGAGCAAATGGTGTTCATCCAGTGTCAGATGGAACTGGAGGAATTTACCTTTTACTATTGAAAAAAAAGGAAGGGTGGAGAGGGATCTGGGGGCAAGGAAGGCAGAAGCCTTTTATAGCAGGCCAGTATCCTACACAGCCCTACTGTGTTGTGGCCAGCAAAGCAAAAAGTCTCAGTTTGGGCAACTGCAAAGTATTTGGGGCAAATTTGCTCCTCCTTGTTTTTGCGCAGAAATTGCCTGAGCATAAAGTTCGAAGCTTCATATTCCCATTTTACTCTCTAAAATAGGGGTGTGTAATGAGTGCTGTCTTTCACAGAAGAGTTTGGCTGGATTCACAGAATCCTCTTAGGACTAAGCACAAGCAACTGGGGAAGAAACGCACCAGCTATCCTCGGAAGGTTTCTTTTGGCTTCCCTGTCAGAGGCCCAGTGTGCTTTTTTCCTTTCCAAATACAGTTTTAATCCAAGATCACAATCTGGCAATGCCAAACATATTTTCATTAAGGCCTATCTTGACAACACTTACTGCTGTCTCTGTATGGAGTCAACATAATGCTACAGGCTTGAGAGTTGCAGATGTGGCCATTACTTGGATAATTAGCCCTGGATGGTAATGTTTTGTGCGCCTCTTCTGCCCAGGAAATATAGTTGATCACTCTGCATTGTTTCACATGAAAATATGCTGTAAAATTAGTGATAGGTACTGGCCAGGGCTAAGAAACAGTTGAAAAAAATATCTGAAAAAAAAAAAAAAGAGTTGATGCGGCATGGTAAGTCATAAGCCTGTAATATGATGGTATGATATTTTGTGAACAGGAGAGGAGGATGTTGTGCTTTGAGAGAAATCTTGGACGCCTTTGCTGTCATGGTAATAACCATAGCACTGCACCCATAAGGGGTGCAAATATCAGAAAGAAAAGCGGCCTGAGCTCAAACCTAACAGCTAAGGGAGTCTCCTGCTGCTTTTTCTCCTTTAAAGGACTGATTTATATTAGCATAGTCTTGCCGTTAAAATGAAGTTTTTAAAGATAGATGGAGTTGAAATATGTTGTGATTTGTTATTTGTAATCCCTATCTATAATGATGTCTCAGAAGCCTGCAGCTAACGTGTTTCCTTCTTCAGTTGTATTTTCTTCCAGAGAAGACAATTCTTGTTTTTAAGTTGCTTTAAGTTGCCCCATTCTGTAATCAAAGGTAAAACAAACAAACAAACAAAACATTTATGTTTTTCTTGTTTGTTTGCTTATGTCCCAGGGTAGGGGGGCATTACTGCACAACCTGATGTGTGGGGAGAATGCGGTAACCCCGAGCTTGGCCTCTGTGTGCCAGACAGAGGAGGGAAAGGGGATCTTGGATCCTTTTCATTTCCGTGTCCTCAGAAAAATCTGATCGCCCTGTTGCCACCTTTGGAGCATTTGTAAGCCCTGTTGCTGCGTGCAGACCCGTGCTCACGGTTAAATGATGCGGACTTCACCTCGTCCCCTCAGCGGGGCAGCCAAGCACATCCCCGCTTCATGCGTGCTGCTCGGCTCCGGTGCTGGAGCCCCCCAGCAGCTCAGGGCACCCGCGGTTGTGACAGGAAATTTGGAGGACGCCCATTTCTTTCTTTCTTTCTTTCTCCCCTCCTGTTCCACGGAGCTCCACGAACGCCCCCGAGGGGCTCGCGGGGGCTCCGAGGGCCGCCCGGGGCCCGGCTCCCGGCTCCCCCCTTCCTCGGGCCGCAGGTGCCCGGCGCCGGGAGCCCGTGGGCAGCGGGAACAAAGGCGGCAGGCGGCGGTGGCGGCCGGGCCCGGGCCGCGCTGAGGCGTCCCGGCCGCCCCTCCCCGCTTCCTGGGCCGGGCCGGGCCGGGCGAGGCGGCCCCCGCGCCCCTGCCCCCGCCCCGCCTCGCCTCGGCGCGGAGCGGAGCCGCCGCAGCGACAGCGGCGCCGCTCGCGGGAGCTGCATGTGCGCGGCGGCGGCGGCGGAGGAGGAGGAGGAGGATGGCCGTGCTCAAGCTCGCCGACCAGGTGGGCGCCGGGGGAAGGGAGCGGGCCCCGGGGCACCGCGGCCTTGCGGGGGTGGGGCGGGAGGCCCCCGGCCGGCCCCGGGGCAGGGGGAGGCGGCAGCTCGGGGCCGGAGCTCAGCCCCGGCGAGCCCCGGGCTGGCCGCGCTGCGTGCTCCGAGCCGGGCTTGTTTCGGCGCAACCCGCAGCGCGGGGGTCCCGCAGGCGGCCGGGGTCCCGCACCCCCTGCTCCCGCATCGCCAGCCTCTCTCGCAGCCTGCCTCCTCAGAAAAGCCTCCATGAAACCCTTCCCAAGGCGCTGGGAAGAGGCTTGGAATGAAAAAAAAAGGATCAGGCTGCTCCTTTCAGGATCTCCCTGTTGATAATCCGAGCTGTGAGCATGAATATTAAAAGTACGTATGTTATGGCAGGCTGAAATTGTGCCATTTCAGTGCTTCTTGCGTTTAACGAAGTCCTTGATTTCACCGCCTTTAGGATTTTTAACCTTTAGCTAAAGATCTTGTGGTGAGGATTTTGCTGCAGCAGCAGAAGTCAGGACAGATTTAAGCCAAGTGGATCACGTCTTGACGAAATCCGTATTGCCACAAAAAGCAACAGCAAGCTGTCAGCCCGGTGCTTGCCCTCCTCTTCTCTTCTGGCCACCCTTGAAGATGAGGGATGGGGCTCCTTGGAGCTGCTGTAGCGCCCCTGCAGCGCGCCTGCCCTGGGGATGCTCGGTGTCGTGGTGGTTCCCGGTCGGGCTGTGCCCTGAGAGGCGATGTGACATGACAGGCTGCCAGATTTTCTTTGCAGGTACCTGTCTGCTGTTGTTTACCAGGGGATAGACTGGTCTGTCTGTGCTCTTCCGACTGGATCTCTTGCAATTTTTTTTTCCTCAGTTTCTTCACCAGATCTTCTTTTACTTCTGAGGGACTGGAGGAGTGGGAGGACGTGCTCAAAGCTGGCTGCAGCACTTCCTCTAAAGCTGGGCCCACAGGTTCGTGTGTGTCTGTTCCTGCGTGTTCAGAGCTGTAGGCACAGAGCCCATGGCAGTTCGAGCAGCTGTAACCAAAGTGTCAGTGCCGCACAGCCCACAGCGGTTGCGCTGTGTGGGTGAGGCCAAGCTGGACTTCTTATCTACCTCAGGTTTGGAGAGCATTGTCCTCAGGTTGGTGCCCCTCTCACCAAAAGACACGTGGTAGCAGCTGTCCCACGTGCTTAAAGATAGACACAGGTGAACCAGAGGTGAAGCTGGGACGAAGATCGGCGTGCTTGGCAAGTTCTGTGCTCCTGTGACAACCCCTGCCTGTGCTCAGACTTGCTGAGGCTACAGGAACAGGCTCCTTCTGTCTTTCTTCCTGCTCTTGAGGATCAAGTCAATTGTGGCAGCGATAACTTGCAGCGATTCAGGAAACGGCTTCCTTTTGCTTAAATGCAAGAGACCACAGCAGTCTGTGCTGTCTCCTGCAATGAGGATTGCGGTGTGTAGGACACTGGACAAGGCGTAGCTGCCATGGTAGCGACCTGGACTGCTGCTGAATGCAGGCTGGTGTTTTGTGTGCTCAGTGTGCAGCCTGTTCAGGTCTCGTTGGCGATGCTCAGGGGAAGCTGACTCTGAAACCAAGAGTTTCTCTCTGCCTCTGGTTGCGATTTCTGTAGCACATGCTTTCTTCTGGCTCCATGATGTTCTCTCCCAGGGAGGAGAGACTTGTTTAGGAGAAGACTGGAGAATCCCACGTTGAGTGTTTAAGCATGTTTCTCCAAGAAACTTGTTTACTCCTTGTCTTCATTCTTGCTTTCTCTTACCAATGGCATCTAACAGCACACAGAGCCTCCAAACAGAAGAGAAACTAATCACAAGGCTTTGAAGAAAGGCAGACTTCCATTATTGCTTTTTTTCTGGTACTGCTGAGAGGTGTCAAGGTATTGCTGTGCTTAAACCTCCAAAGAGATTAGTGTCTCTGTCTGTTTGGCTGCATTCTGTCCTTAGGCAGGAGAGCTCAGTTTCAGACTTTAGTATTTTTCATACGGTGCATGTAGGTTACTTGAATTTGTTTCCAAGTGACTGCAATTGCTAGCTCATCAGTTGTGCCATGAGAAGCCCTTAAATCTTTTAACCACAGGAAGTGCATTTCTACCATTATTCATTTCTGCATGAACTTCCCTCAGGACTCTCCCTTCAGTAACCCCCCCAGTAGTAATTTCTGAATGTTAAAGTGAAACAACCTAAACCAAGTCATAATTGCTAGCATTTTAATCTTTATATTGATGTGCCTGTGCAGTTGTAACAGTTCTAAATACTCTCATCGTCATATAAAAATACTGTGAAACTTATTCTAAATCATAAAACTTTTATCTGTTCTTTTTTTTTTTTTCCCTCACCATCTCTGTAGTGAATGCTGATTACAACAAGCATGTGAGTTGCTTTAAGGACTAAATATATATATATATGTACATATATATATATATATAATATTCAGGTCTGAGTTATTTCTGTGTTGCTCCCTACTCAGTTTATTGGTTGCACCTTTTTCATTCTGATAAACATCTGTGTTTTATAATATGTGAGGATGCAGCTATATGCTGATAAAAGCCTTTGTGCGTAAGCTGGAGTTCATAATGAGCAGAAGATGAGTGTTTCAACAAATGGGTGGCCAGAGACGTTCAGGCGGAAGCTTCACTGACACATCTCGAGCCTGGCTCTGTGGACAAGATGATGGGGCGTGAAAAAACCTTCCCGTGCTCCCTCAGGGGCTGGCTGAGGAAAGCTTCTTTCTTTTGCTCGTTGTTCGTGACTGTGTTTTGCATTGCCGTTTCCTCCTCCTTGCAAGTCTCCTTTCCCTTTACCAAAACTGTCTGAGGGTATCACTTGTTTTTCTGAATTTTGTGGCTGTTTTTCAAGCAGCTGTTGTTGCCTGGATCTGCCCCTGAGCAGCCGTGGCCGGGGTGTTTCCCACCACAGGTCTCCCTGCTTGCGCCTCTCACACAGCTTGTTCTTAATTGCTCACGTTTGCATCAAGTAGCTTAGTTTCTTGAGAATCATTTCTGCGTTTGCCACGTGCAGACTTCTCAAGAGAAAGCCTATTAGCTGAAGTCCTGCTGAATGTGCTTTTAATCTGAGGTAGTTATGTCTGATTTGGGATGCCGGTGCTCTGCCGGATCACCCGTGTTGGGGCAGCGGTGCACGGAGCAGCCCCTGTGTTTGTCCTGGTGGCTGTTGGAGGCTGCTGCAAGCTCTGCCCTGCCTGGGTGCTGCTTGTGGCCACCCATGTTCATGTGGGAAATGCGTCATTCTGTCCTTGGAAAGCACCGGGTATCTTTTCTGTGAACAAAAATCAGAAGTTACATAAAGATCAAGTCGGTGTAGCTACTTTTAAGAGATGCAGCGCTTGGTGCTTTTGTGCCTGAATTCGGAGAGACACTCGCTGTAGATTTGAGACAGGCCTTGACCCAGTGCACCTGGGGGCCCAAATTTCCTGTCACTTTAGTTTCACCAGCTCAGGCCCCTGTGTGCAGAAAACAACGATAATTTTTAGGTTACCCTTACAAGCGTGTGTGAGGGTAATGAAGCCCAGCTAAATGGTGTGTGCACCGAGGCTGCTATTAGCTGCAAAACCTCATCCTGTCTCCAGGTATTTTGCCTGTTGTCCTTGGCTGCTGAGGGCAATGCGGTGTGACTGGAACTGAAAGGACCATTTCTCTCCCTTTCCCAAACGCTTTCCTGTCTTCGACAGTTCTCACTGACCATCAGGATCCTTTTTATTATGGTCACAGAGAAACAGCATTAAACAGGTGTTTAAAATGATTTTAAACAGATGTCAGAAATCATAAAAATCGCCTGGGCAGAGGCTGGATTTGATCTGAACACACTCAAAAGCAAAATGAGTACAACAGTAACAAATAATCTCCTAACAAAGCTGATTACATTTCCAAATGTGTGTGTTTTAAAATAAAAAAACCTCTGGAAAATTCCTGCCCTTGCTTAGTGGTGTGGGCAGGGTGGGTGCTGCTGCCTCCCAGGTGGCCGCGGAGCTCTGACACGTTTCGTGTCTGGCCCTCTTCAGACGGGGGGAAAGAGACTTTGAGTCCCCAAAGAGAGGAAGGTGCAGAGCAGGAAAGGAAGCTGCTTGCTTTTTTTGGTCATGGCTTATGAAGTATCATTTTCAGATGGCTTTGTAGCTTGTTTTGAGGTAAATTTTTATCAGGGGGATCCTGGAGTCGTGCACTGTGCTCACGTCTATTTGTATATTTTTCTGTAGAGGAGAAACCCTCCAGAAGTGTGGTGATGCTGTGAGGATTTTGTGAAGCTTACACCAAGATGCCTAGGCTGCCTGGTCTTCGGGGCAAACCAGAGGCAGACAGCAAAGGAAATGGCCATGTAGCTGCATGTGGGGTTTCTGGGAGCCTGCGGACCCCGGGGCCCGCCTGTTGGTTGCTGGAGTGGCCAGAGGCCCGAGATGTGGGGAGGCTTGTTGAGAACAGCACATCTCGGGCTGTTCCTTTGAAAGACCAGCCCTTTGGTCTTTAAAAGCTGCTGTTTAGGCTGTCTGCAGGCTTGGGCAGATACTGTACACAGTAAGTCAGCATATTGTGTTTTTTTAGCCTTTTTATCCCTTTTTAATCCCCGTTGACTAGAACTTTTTTTCTTTTCTCTGATACTAATACTGGTTCTAGTGTCATCAGGTGCCTACAGGAGCCAGGTATTATAGGTATGGGCCTGTATTAGGCCAGCATTTAAAAGTACGTTTTGATAACATTGACCATATAATTGGATTTTTATTCCTCCACTTGAAGCCACTGCTTCACATACTGCTGCTTCTGTACATGTATGTTGCAAAACATATGGGTGAGCTAAACTTACTAGCAGAACATGATTTTTGTCATACCTCCGTATTTTAACTGTTTAGTTTAGATGCTTTAAGACCTAGAAAAATTGCATTTTCAGGTGTTTCAATTTTTAAATTATTATTTTTTTTTCAAAAGCACATAGCTGACTTAAGTCACTTTTTTTGTTAGCTGCAAAGC